CAATAAAACTATCAAATAGAACTTTTCTGATGAYTTCCAGTACAGAAACAAATTTTACTGGGAATTGAAATGATAAGTTCTAGAGCACTGTGCTAGGTACTTTATAGGCATCAACTTATTTAAAACTATCATAAATTTTATGGTTTTATCATCACTATGTGCACATGAAAACACTGAAAATCAAAACTTTTTCAAATTTCCTGCCAGGCACACTGGCCCACACCTGTAATCCTAGCCACTAGGAAGGCTGAGACAGGATTGTGAATTCAAAACCAACCTCAGCAACTTAGCAAGGCCCTATGAAACTCAGCAAYACCCTGTCTCAAAATAAAAAATAAAAAGGGCTGGGGATATGGCTCAGTGTAAGGCACCCTTGGGTTCAATAGCTGGTACCAAAATAAATAAAATAAAAATTTCCTAAGACACCTAAAACAGAATGAGGACTCATACATATGAACAAAAATTATCTCCCAATGAAACAAGCAGTCTCCATAAAACAAGAAAACTGCTCCATTTATTCCTAATATTCTCCCTAAAACTTTTATGTCTTCAGGTTTTTCATTCTTCTTGAGCATCTTAATAAATATGATAGATAATGGGATGCATCAATAGGGTCATCATTGCACTGTACTCCCTCTAGAGTTAATTTTTTGCATTTAATAACCACTTTTAATGTCCCCCACAAATACTTATATTCAGATTCATTTTTTAAACCATTATTTGAAGTGCTACACTGTAAGAGAAATTAGCTTCCAAATCAACTTCACCMAGATTTTGAAAGGAATTCCTACTATCATTGGGAATATGTGCATAGCAAAAACAACAGTCTGATTCTACTTGGGAGTTCTTAAATCTGCCCTAAAGAGACAAATATTTAAAACAACATAATAACTAATGTTCCCAAAAGGGAACACTCTGAGGAGAAAGAGAAGGAAACTCATATAACCTTTAAGGTAAAAGCTAAAAGAGAGCTAGTAAAGAAGCCATATAATTTAAAGACAGAAATGTTAGAAAGGCCCCAGTTAGGAAGAACACAAGGAGAAAAATCTTCCCCATCTCACCTGCCCTAAGGCAAGGGAAAGTGAGGAGCTATTCCTCTTTTGAAAACAGGAAATCTATCTACCTTTAGATAACCCCAGGGGGATTCTGATTGTGATCAGAAAAGATGTATGTTTAGGCCTCACCAGGCAGGCAGGGAAATATTTACTATTGTTTCAGCTGCCCCATGAAGAGTTTTGATGTCCCTGGAACCATTTTGGAAGAAGCAATATGGAGGGGATAGGGACTCAGGAGCAGGCTGAGAAAAGCTCAATATAGAAAATAAAAAGATTTTGATTTAAATGCAAACTGCTTAAAGTGTATTCAGTTAGTAAGTCATAGGAAACACCTGATAAGCGCTCTCTCATTAGAAAAGTGATTTTTAAATAAGAGTTCTCCATTGACTAGATCCCTTTCATACTTTCCCAGACTACTTTAATTCATTAATTTCCAAGGCAGAAGTATTGGAGCTGTTGTTTAATATATATACATGAAAAATCCAGAGCCCTTCTAAGTCCTTCTAACCTTTTGAACTGATCTAAGTTTCGGGTAAGTCTTGATTAATGTTTATTCCTTAATTTTGTTTAAAAGTTCTAATATTCAGAAAATTACCATTCAGAAAATGCTTTTCTGTTAAGTGTATCAAGTTCTTCATTGCTGTTATGMTTCAAAGTAAGTATCACAGGGAAAAACTGCAATTTCCTAAATTTAGTATTCAGATATCCTTGAAGCTATCTGCAAGTACAGTCTAGGATAGGAAGGTTATAGATATTGAGCCAAAAAGAGTAAGGTACCACCCACAATGATGAGAAAACAAAGCTAAGAAAACCACTGTGAAGAAGAGTGTTGCATAATGCAAAATTTCAAGAGTTAACATTTTTTGGTGGTTCTTATATGTTAAATGCTGTGCTAAGCTCTATTTTTCCTATTAAAATGTGCATCATAAAATATTTTTAATTGATAGATAGCAAAGCACAGGGCCCATAAATCTAAGATATTAACTTGCCATTTTTTCCTTAGTTACTTTTAAAGAAATAAAACATTAGTTTCACCTAAAGCCCATTTTTCATCTGATCTCCTTTCTTTCCTCCTCACACTAATATCCTGATTTTTTGTGCATCACCTCCTATTTTTTAGTCTTTCTTAATATTTATCTACTTTTATCAATTTGCCTTTTTTAACAAATATTTTGATACTTACCCATGTTGATACATGTAGATCTGGTGGGCTCCCATTACCTTCTACATGGAACTTCATTATAAAAATAAACCTTGGTTGATCCACTCCAGGCAGGCTGTTTAAACTTTTTTTAATATTGAGAATGCTGTAAAGACCAGTTTTAAAAAGAATATATCCTTATGTACATGTGCAAGTTTCTCTAGGTCCTTTTCTTCAAATGGAATTTCTGGGTCATAAGGTATGCACCCTCCAATTTTACTAGGCATTGTCAAAATTATTTCCAAAGTGATTTTATCAACTTATACACCTACCAGAAAGGTATGAGTTCTTTTGCCCATTTTTTTCCTTTGGTATTTTTTTCATTCTTATTGATTTCTAAGCATTCTTTTGGAAGTTATTTCAAYGCAAATATATTCTTCCAATATGAAATTTCATTTTGTTAGTAATATCTTTTATCATAAAAATATCTTAGTAGTGTAGAAATKTATCATTTTCCTTCTATTTTGTAATTTTTATATCTTAAAAAGTAATCCTTTACCCCAGTGTGGTGAATGCATTTCTTCATTTTCTTCTAAGTGTTTAAAAATTTTCCTCTTCACATTTATGTTTTCAAACCATCTAGTATGTATTTTTGTGTACGCTGTGGGTTAAAGAATCTCAATCTTTTTGCAGAAAGTCGTTTTTTTTTAAAAAGTCCATTCACCACTTTTAAAGCTATCTGTCATATCATGCTTTCATCTACAAGTGGGCCTTTTTCTAGGCTATATTAATCTACTGGTCTATCCTGGTCTGTTGATATCATACAGATTAAAATACTAGAGCTTTGAAGTAAGTCTTGATATCTGATAGGGTGAGATTTTCCTAATTCTTTCTCAGAATTGCTTTGGTTCTTCTTGCTCTTTATTCCACCATGCAAATTTTAGGATTAGCTATATTTCCCATTAGTGTCTTTTAAAAACAATACCTGTTTCTTATTTTGTTGGTGGTAAAATGAAGCTATTAATTTTTGTTTGTGGTTGGCTTATCAAATCTTTAATATTCCATCACTGATCAATAATAAATAGTACTATTAGAAAAAAAGGGGAGTTATATATGAGAAAAAAATTATGTTGTGACTTCATTTGAAGTTGATGTTCCAAATTTGAGGTTGAGAATAGTTTTGATAAAATCGTCCCAACCATGAATATAAGAATCTCCATTTATTTTTTCTTTTATGTCCTTTAATAAAGATTAACAATTTTTCCATAGAGATCTTAAGCATTTTTGCTAGATTAATTCCTGGATTTTTTTTAAAAACAATATTTCTTGCATTTGATCTTCTGGGCCATTAGTATGGCCTTTTAATTCACCTGCTATTCTGTTGAGAAACCATGTTTTTAAGATTGTGTATGTGAGTGTGCTGCATTCAGATCTCATTAATTTTGTTGTTCAGGTGTTCATCTCTTTCTTCCAGCAATTATTACACTGAACATGGGTTCTACAACGTTCAGGGGAATTCCACAGGTGCTGAATGGAAAGATGTTTCTTGCCCTAACTGGGATGAAAAGAGGAGACTATTATTTGTCTCCTAAAGCATGGTGGAGGAAGCCTCTCTGATCTTCCTCTGCTCAAACCCTTCTCTCCACCTTAAGAATAGGGAACACTCAACCCAACCCCTTGTCTTTAGTGGACAGGAAGATCCTGCCCCTTCATACCAGTTTGAGATCCTCAGATGTTGAAATGCCAAACTCTGGCAGGAACTCTGACCTTGGCTTCTGAGAAGCTGCTCACATTTGATTCCTCTACCCCTAAGGAAAGAAGCCCTGTTCTTTCCACCAGAATCTGAAACTTGGAGTTAGGAATGGAAGTCATTATGATCCCCCAAATCCACCACTGGTATATTTTCTATTTGTTTCTTAATAATTTGTTAGTGGTAAAAATGAATGCTATCAATTGATGTTTTGTATTTTTTTTCCAGCTTTGTGGTTGGTTGGCCAAATTTTTTATTTAGTATTCCATCGTTGTTCAACATGTTATTTTGGGGAGTGAGGGGCAGCAAATTCGGCAGATCCCCAAAGAAAAGGCAAAAAGGCAACATATGGCCAGGCCAGCATTATTCATCTGCTTTTTTAGACTGAGTGAATACAACTTTATGTAAACATCTGATCTAAGTGATTTCTGTTGTTGCCGATTTGTTTTTAATATTGGGAACACTGAGATTCAGTGTAGAAGACACCCGAAATTGAGTAGCACATCCCACTCCCTCCCCTTCTCCCAAAAATCTAGTTGATTTGAATGGACAGAATAAGCCATTTTCCATTTTAAGTAAGCAGATGTTAGTTACAGATCTTAAAAAGCATTCGGATGCAGGAACACTTTTTCCTGTRAATGCTATAGGAGCTAATAGCAGAATACCCATTTGATGAAATAGCCACAAGAAATATTTCTTTAAAATGATTTCACTCTGGGCAGCATTGATCCTTCTACAAACCCCACTTGCCTTATTTATCAGGAAAATTTAGAACGGAAGGAGTCTTTAGAACTTTACTTCGAAATATAAGAAGACTAGTACTCAGATTCAAGTCATACTTTTAACATGAGCTTGTTGCAAGAAACTTAACAATTCCAAACGAAATTAAACGCGTCTTAACTTTTTCCTCCCAAAGCACAAAAATGGAGAGGAAGTTAACAGGAAATTCTTAAACAGTAAAAACAACTCTTCTTTGTTCTAGTCCTTGGGTAGTTACCACAGAACTGGTTCTTCTCTTCTTGAAGACCCTTTTCAGGCCCAAGTCTGTTCAAGTTTAGTATCTACTGCGGCCTCCCCCTCTCTCCGAGCGGCTTCCAAGGCGGCCGCCGCCCCTGGGGGGCGCCCTGCGGCCCGACCGGCTGTAGGAATCACGCGGYGGGGGACACCCCCTCTCCATGGACGGGGGCAGCCCGCGATCTGGCCTTCCCACCCGGTCTCGGCCCCCCGAATAGCGGTCGCTTCGGCCGCCACCGTACCCGTCGCGGCCGCCGCCRTAGGCGTCGGGCGAGCAGCCGCGGTACTCTTCGTAGCGACCCCCGCCATAAGATGGCGGCGGGCCCCGCGCATCCCCGTAGCTCTCGAAGGGGTCTCGGTAGGAGCCTCCGCTCGGATGATCCGCGTAGTCACGGTCGCGCCCACCGTAGCCGTCACGGTCGCAGTAGCCTCTCGACGGACAGTCGTCCCGGGCACTGGAGTGGCCATAGTCGCGGTAGGTGTACTCTCTGGGCGAGGGGRCAAAATCCCGGGGGTCGCGGGCGCTTGGGTAGTCTCGGCTCGAGTAGCTGTCTCGGGGCGAGTAGCCCTCCTCCCGCGGGCCCAGGTAGGGGTCGCGGCGMGGGGGGGGCGGCTCCCGGCGCGGCGGGCCTGCATATCCGTCTCGGCCACGAGCGGCCGAGGCCCTCCCACGCATTCCGCCGCCGCTGCGCGCCGGGCCCGACGGGGCGGCCCTCTTGGGCGGAGGCCCGGCCCTGCGTGGCGGCGGCGGCCCGCGCTTCAGGGGCATGGGGGCCCTGGATGGCTGCAGGTCGAAATCCCCCGCATAGCCGCCGTCGTCGGCGGACCCGCCCCGGGAGAGGGGTCGCCGTGGGCCGCCGCGGGTTCCGCGCAGGCCCCTCGGGCGACCGCGGCTGCGGGGCGGCGGCGGGCCCCGCCGGCTACTCTCAAACGCCGGTTTGGTGGCCTGGGCTACCTTGATGGCCTTACCATCCAGGGACTTGCCGTTCATGTCTCTGGCGGCGGCCTTGGCGTCTGCGGGGCTTTCGAAGGTGACAAACGCGAAGCCCCTGGACTTGGTGGTTTCTCGGTCTTTCATCAACAGCACCTCAATGATGCGGCCATACTTGCCAAACGCGGCTTCGAGGGCTTTCTCGTCAGTTTCGGGGTTCAGCCCCCCAATGAAAAGCTTTCCAGGGCGATCAGCTTCAACCATGTCGGCAGGTGGTGTGGTTAGTGGCGGCGGGAGTCGAAGGGGCGGTGCCGACGCGACCTGCTGGCCCCGCTCCCCTAGGGCGGCTCCTACCGGTCGGGCGGCGCGTCGGCGAGTCCGGAACTGCAGCTGTCCCGGGTGCGCAGACGGAACGCTCCGACGGCGCCCCGGGTCTGGTTCGCTCCTAGTGGCTCCCACTGGTTGTGATTGGCGGCTTGACCCTGCAGCTCAGCCCGCCATAAGGCACGTCAGTTGGGGATTTCCCTCCAATCTTACTTGGACCACTACTCAACCCGGGCTCAACTAAGTCTGTAGTTACTCTTGAAAATGCTGCGGGTAAACGAGAACCGTTAGGTGGAAGATTTTTGTGCATTTTTATGAGCATTGTAATGCATTCCAATTCTGGTTACCCAAACCATTTGCAAATAGAGGAAAAATGGAAAATGAAATGAGTAAATGTTTTAAAATACTGTTGGTAAATTCTCCCCTGCCCCTATTTGCAGGAGGGGAAGAGAAGACGTGGAGGGCGGCGTTGGATTTTGGAACCGGAAGGAGAGGGAGTCATTCTTTGGGTGCACCATTTTGTTTTTCCTCAGTACCGCTTTCTTCTACTTTTCAGCCTTTAAAGGATTCATGATAATGTTGTAGTCAAAYCGCCCTTTAAAGTTATAGCACAGAAAGTTGTCTATAGAACAAAATAAAGACAAAACACGCGAGCACTTGGACGCTAATCCCCGTTGCACCTTGGACACTTCTGAAAGTACCACTTGAGCTTGTCTGTCACCTGGATAGAGGTGGTGCACCTCAGCAAAGAAAGACTTCCTGGGCTAAAACAAGTTACACAACTGAAGTTTGAATGGAAATAAGCGTGAAAMCCAAATGATGAGCATACCTTTGCTTGAAATAGTAAATCTAAATCCAGGTGTACAAAGACTGTGATGCTATTTGTTCAAAAAGTGGTAATAGATTTTTTCAAAAGTTGTCATTGTGAAAAGTTGATCATAAGTTTATATCTGTGTGCACATATATACGTATTCATATGTTATATTGATTTATGGCAGTGACTAAGGTTGAAACAGTGAAAATAGGCATTTTTATGTTTCCAACTTTTTTTTTCTTATATAAAAGGAATTTTTTTTTATTGATTGTTCCATACATTACAGAGCTCTTGATAAATCATCTTTCATACATTTGACTCCATTGGGTTTTGAACTCCCATTTCTACCCCAAATACAGATAGCAGAATCACATCTGTTACATACTCACATTTTTACCTAATGGCATATTAGTGACTGTTTTAATCTGCTACCTTTCCTATCCCCTACTATCCCCCCTCGATGTTTCCAACTTTAATAGAGAAGCTCCTAAGTTTTTTTTAATCATGCACGAATGGCGTTTAATGTTAAATGAATCGGTTTTTATTAAAACATTGTATTTCAAGGTAACCCTAACTGTGTTGGGATGTATTCATTTTCTAAAAATTAATGCATTTTACTTGCTCATTTTCCTTAGAAAATTCACATGTCTAAGCATAAAGGGAATTTGTATATGTATTTCTTTSGGTACTGAACTGCAGACTTTTGCCTAAGGACATCCAGCCTGCTATTTTGAATCTATTTGCCCAGTAGTCAATTTCTTTTACTTATGAATGCATCCAGATTTTTAAAATTCCATTTGTAAGATAACTTTTCTAAGAAGATAATCCATTTTTGTATCAAATTTCAAATTTATCAATAGCTGCATCCTTTTTTGTTCTTTTCATTGACCAGTGCTGCTAAAAGTGTTTTTGGGTTTTGTTTCATAAATCTGTCTTTGTTTTGTTTTGTTTTGTTTTTAAAAGAACCAGTTTTCAACTTGCTGCCCTCTGTTTTGATTTTATTTGATGATACTGTCTTTATTATTTCTATGTTCTTTGGATTTACAGTTTGTATTACTTTTGTTAGTTTTTTTTAAGGTATGGCACTTAGCACATTAAAATTATTTTTAATTAAATTTTCTAATTGTTATAATGAAGATTGAAACTTCTACATACTGGATAACAACATGTCCTGAGCTGTGATACATGGGGTTTTCACTGTTCAGTTCCTAACATTTTCTCATTTTCATCATTTCTTCCATGAGTTATGAAGAAATATGTGTTTACTTAAGTTTTCAAACGTAGGGACATCTTTGTTATTTTTAACATGCTCTATTATTATGTCCATTCTGTTTCTTATTGAGACTTCCTTTGTGATCTAATATGGTATGTGTAAATATGGATGTATATTTTAATGTTTCATATATACTGAAAAATGTATTCTGTAAATGTTGGTATAGAACTCTTTCTTTATATTGTGAAGTTCAAATGTTCCCTGTTCTTTTTTGTTGAACAAAATTGGCAATCACTAAGAACTATTCTTAAATTTCCCATAATGGATTTGGCAGTTTGTTTTTATGGGCATTTTTGCTTCATATAATTTAATGTTTTATTGTGAGGTATATAAAAATTGTGAATTGTTAATGTATTTCTGGTGATGTCTTCTATTATGTAATGATCTTCATTATTCATAATAACTTGTYTGGTAAAATATTTTAAAATTTCAGTAAATTTTAGATTTCTTCCTGCCAATTTATTGTGTGCCTTCTACCAACCATGCTTTTCTTGCCTGTTTTTTTCCCATCTTTCTTACCTTCTCTCATAGCAAATCCTTTCTTTTTCCTTTACTGTGGAAGAAGTTATGCCTTCTCTTTTAATGCTTTGAATGATTGCCTTTCATGATTTTATTGAGGGCTAACTTATAAACACTAAATTTATTTATAAGTTATTAACTTTACTGTTTCATTAATTTCTATATTACCATAACAAGATATATAACATTTCCAGCATCATAGAAAGTTCCTTTATGTCCTTGTCAAAATAATACTTTCCTCACAAAGGTAATCACTATTCTGACTTACATCAACCACWAATTAGTTTTGCCTGTTCTTAAACTTTATAAAAACGTAATCCTACAGAATGAACTCTTTTGTATTTTTGCTAATGTTACTTATCATATTGGGATTCACCCATGCAACATAACCAGTAGTCTGCTCTTTTTACTTAATATTTTTAGTATTCATTGCACAACTGTTCCACAACTTTTTTTTTCTTTTTATTTTTGATAAATATAGGAGCTATTTACACTTTTGGAAGTGATTCTTATTTCTTTCAGTTCCCACAATGACTATCCCCAAATCCTGTCAGTCAGAAAGTGCTCTTGGCCCTATCCCAAAGATACATCTGGAATCCTTTCTTCTTCTTAATTCTGCACTGCTACCACCTTCGTAGAAATTACCACACTTGCTTCTTGGCATGGAGCTCCTAAAAACCCTTTGCGTTTCCTATTAGGAATGTCTGACAACCGCAGCTAAGGACTGCTGCTGCAGGAAGGGAGTTGATCACCTGAGGAACACCCCCCCCCCAGTATTAGAAGGCTAGAACTTGAGTACTCCCCCAACCTCCCCAGAGGGGAAAGGTGCAGGACATTGATCTTCACAGCCAGCTAGGCTTACTCATGCCAGGCAAAGTAAGGGAACCATTGTGTATCTGAAATGTTTACCGTCTTTTATTCCAAGGAGCGCCTCTTTATAGACTAGTTTGGGAAAGATCCAACAGCCCAAAAGTGACTGTTGCAATTCAATACTGTTTTTAGTATAAATGTTTGCATCTTAGAAAGAAAGCAGATGATAATATTAGGTCATAGTGGCAAAGCACATAGTTTTCAGGAGTTTGAGAGGCAGGGTGAAGTTACCATATTCTTAACTATACCTTACAAACAAGCCTATGACTTTATCCCATCCTCAGAGAACTTTAAAAACAAAAACTTGTCYTCACTGTGCTTTGGAGCCTTGGATAAGGAGTCAGACTCCACACCACATATTCAAATGAGCAAGCCAACTGAAGGCAAAAGAACATCCAGCTGTCATATCCAAGGACCTGATGGTGTTCTATCCTAGAAATGAGTCTCAGCACTATAGAACTGTCAAAGATTAATAGTATCCAACACTTTTTTTAAGTGACAAAATTAGATTTAAGTATAAATTTAAATGATGTGAACTCCAAAGAMGACAAAAGGAACAGGTCTTTAAAAGTAGGACAGGGAACAAAAAGGGACTTTGGGAAAGTGAAAAGGAACCAGAAAAAGGACAGAGTGGCTATGGGGAAATGGAAAAATATAGACGGGGAAAAATAAAATTATTGAAACTAGTTTGGCAACATGGGGTAGGACAAAGTACATTTTGAGGTTTGGCAGCATTTGCATTTTCATCTGCTGGAATATAGGGACTTGAGTCACCTTTGTAAGGAAAAGGCCTAATATAGGTGGAAGCCAGGCTCAAGTTTGTCCAGCCTCATAGCACAGTGTTCAGACAAGTCCTTTGTGTCTCATGGGACTTCACAAGGAGTATAGATTGGGACATAGGACAGAAGCCTGCAAGGGTATCCCAGCAGTAACTACTGGAACTTTGAAAGTCTGCCCATTGGAAGAACCTGCTTGTAGGTTTGGAAGGTGACTGGAATTTACCAATGGATATTGCTGTTTGACCAAAGTGACCGCTTGGGTCCATGGAATGACCCAAATGAGTGGGGATGTAGAGCAATGCAGAAATGGGCTGAATTTAGACATATTCCTCTTGTACTGTGGCACAAAATGTTGCCCAAAACTGTTCTGTCAACAAAAGAAACAGATTGCAGATGATTATGTCAGATTTCCTGGGAGAAGGCCCTGAATATAGCTGGGACATGGGGCTGATTCTGGCTACCTATTTTGTTGTGTTTGTGTGGGTGGGGGGGGGGTCACACTGGGGATCAAACCCAGGCCCTCATACATGCTAAGCAAGTGCTCTGTCACTGAGCTATACCCCCACCTCTACCAATGAGTCTTGACAGGGATAAACACTGATTGGTCTGTTCTTTGCCTACCCAACGAGAGATGCAAATGTCCAAAGTACTGTATATAAAAAAAAAAAAAAAAGATGTTGTACTAATTT